GAATATTGGGTTGGCACTGTGTTATGTGTATGACACTATAAACTGGGGTTGATACTTTGTGGTGTGTATGGCACTGAGTATCGGAGTTGGCACTTTGAGATGTATATATCACTATGGCACTATGACACTATACACACATGGTATTCACTTTGTATGTCGGGGCCGCAAAGTATACACTAAACAGAGAAATTATTCACTATCATTCACTGAGCTCACAAGGGAGGTGGTGTGGTGGTGAGGGGAGTTTGAAATGCGGCCACTACCAGCCCTTCTCCGGCTTGACGGGTGAGCGTGAGCGGGTGTTCTTAGTGACGCCTTACTCTAAGGTTCACTTTCCCTCACGCGCCTCCCTCCTCTCCCGCCCCGGCCGTTAAGGTGGGAGGCCTCCCTCACTGACACTGTTGCTGGTGAGTTCAAGCTTAGAAAGTCGGAGAAAGCCGGAGAAAATTGTAAAATACCGTTGACTGGGACGATGGAGGGACTTCACACGCTGAAGATGTCTTGTAATGATGTTCACATATGTCCTGACCAACTCCTCACCTGCTTGGCCTCACTGTTTTGTGATAAAGTATGAAGGTAGCCCGGAGCTCCACGGTGCGTCCGGTCTCCACGGTACCCCATGTGATTACATATATATACATATACATATATATATATATATATATATATATATATATATATATATATATATATATATATATATATATATATATATATATATATATATATATATATATATATATATTGGTTTAGGGCTTCTATCCCTCTAACTATTTTCTTAGCATCAGGGCTTAATTGAAATAGGAGTTCTCCAAAACTCATTTTCGTACTTTTAAGGTGAAGAAAAGAAGTGATTTACTATAGAGTGTATTACACTTATTGGTATAATTTGCACGACGTTTCGAACCTCCATGGTTCATTCTCAAGTGAACAGATCTTACAATACTAGTTGATTTTATACCCGCATTAGGTCAGGTGATAATACAATGAAGGTGAAAACATGGGGGGATACATAAGGGATAAATGTGAGGTGAAACATAGAGGCTGCAGAAGGCTTATTGGCCCATACGAGGCAGCTCCTATATCTAAACACAAAGATTAATCCAGTGAAATTGGCCTGTTATGTTGGACATTGTGTTCTGTGTTGGCATCGATATGTTCTTGTCTTGTCCTTACTCTCATGGTGGGTAGAGTCTACCCACCATGAGAGTAAGGACAAGACAAGAATATATATATATATATATATATATATATATATATATATATATATATATATATATATATATATATATATATATATATATATATATATATATATATATATATATATATATATATATATATATATATATATATATATATATATATATATATATATATATATATATATATATATATATATATATATATATATATATATATATATATATATATATATATATATATATATATATATATATATAGCATATATATATATATATAGACATATAATTTATTAAATATGACCGAAAAATTCAGATTAATAATTCTAACACGAATTTTCTCAATATTTCTTATGTTTCTTTTTACTGTCAATGGTAATTGAAAAATCAATTCTCCAAAGTTAATTTTTATTTCTAGTCTGATGCGACACTTGAACGCATTTCGTAATAACTTATTACATTTTCAAAGACTTTAGTTTACACACACACAACTATAACCTGCAAACACTAAACAAAGTTCTACTATGGTATCATCTAAACAGTTTTCATCTTATATATCCGCATTTGGGTGAGGTGATATGTTACAACAGTTTTGAATGAGGTGAACAAAACTTTCAACACAAGATAGATTAAAACTTTCAACACAAGACAGAACACGGTGCAATGGTATAAATTGGGTAAATAAAGGGAAGGATGGAAGTAACTGCAAAGGGCCTATTGGCCCATATTTCTTGATGCTTCTATATTGGTGCGGAGTCTTGAAGTGGGTATAATATAGTTGTGCATTAATTGGCTGTTGATTGCTGGTGTTGACTTCTTGATGTGTAGTGCCTCGCAGATGCCAAGCCGCCTGCTATCGCTGTATCTATCGATGATTTCTGTGTTTGTTAAGACTTCTCTGGTGATCATCTGGTTGTGGGAAGAGATTATATGTTCCTTAATGGAGCCCTGTTACTTATGCATCGTTAATCGCCTGGAAAGAGATGTTGTTGTCTTGTCTATATACTGAGTTCTTTGAGGCTGCGTTCTTTGGAACGCAACCTCAGGGAAGGAGGCTGGCAGTCACGCTCTGGCTCAGACACACAAACAAAACAAAGATGGCTCCTCACGACAAGCACAACTTGTCAATGGATCCACAACGATCCGACCAACCCTCAATAACAAAGAGAAGAGCAGCTTAGTTCCCGACTCCCATTACATCTTTTATTGGTAGTGATCACTATTAAATATAGGATAGGTAGTTGGTTAAGCTGCAGACGAAGCCCCACAACAAAGTGAGTAGTGTTTTACTCAGCACTACACACACACAAATAATTCATGTCAAACCTGTACTTTATATGTTAATGGAACCGTTATTAATCCCATTCTTTGGTAGGTAAGTTTGTGAGTTGAAGATAATGAGGTGAGCTGGGCAACATAACTTGTGATGTTCTTGCTTACCCTAGCTGTTCCACAGACGCCACCTGAGTGCCAGCCCCCATTTTACAACTGGACCACATGTAGCCACACTCTAACAGCTATCACACTGCCTAATCAGGCCATACCTACATCATGGCTAAGATCTCACATTTGTACTAACCCATGTTTACTATAAGATTGAGTAGTACTAACCATACTGTAGATTAATTACCACCATATGTGGTATAATTTATATTATAATAAGGTAAATGTTTATAGCTTATTATATGACCCCCAATTGTTGTATAAGGTGTAAACGTCCCTCCAACTATGTGCTGGTAAATTCTGGCGGCTGAATCAAATATACAGTCCACTTAGAATCATAATCATCAATATTGAAGTGATAAAAAATATTTAATAAATGTTCACAAAGAATAAAAACAAATAATTGCTTGTTAGGATTATCCAACACCCCCACCCAGAGCAGGGAGGGGTGCTCCTGGCCCAGGACGGGGTAACAACGACGACAACAACAAGCACTTCACTCTCGCATCACAACATCAACAACAACAACATTACTATAACAACACATCATCAACAAGAACATCAACAAAGGAACATCAACCACAACAACAACAACAACAACAAGAGCCAGCATGACAACATTTGAGGTGGATTACTATGAACAAAACGGGAAAATTTTTCCGAGATATTATCTTACACATCACCTCAGGTGGTGTTGTTGACCCTTGTGGACGCCTGCTGGTAGATACTGGGGGAGGGTGGGGAGGGACCGCGGTGGGGAGGGCCGTGCGGTGGGCATGGGCCGGCGGTGGGGGGAGGGTCGGCGGTGGGGAGGGTCGGCGGTGGGGAGGGTCGGCGGTGGGGAGGGCCGGCGGCGGTGGGGAGGGGTGGGAGGGCCGGCGGTGGGGAGGGTCGGCGGTGGGGAGGGTCGGCGGTGGGGAGGGTCGGCGGTGGGGAGGGCCGGCGGTGGGGAGGGCCGGCGGTGGGGAGGGCCGGCGGTGGGGAGGGCCGGCGGTGGGGAGGGTCGGCGGTGGGGAGGGTCGGCGGTGGGGAGGGCCGGCGGTGGGGAGGGCCGGCGGTGGGGAGGGCCGGCGGTGGGGAGGGTCGGCGGTGGGGAGGGTCCGCGGTGGGGAGGGTCCGCGGTGGGGAGGGTCGGCGGTGGGGAGGGTTCGCGGTGGGGAGGGTCCGCGGTGGGGAGGGTCGGCGGTGGGGAGGGTCGGCGGTGGGGAGGGTCGGCGGTGGGGAGGGCCGGCGGTGGGGAGGGCCGGCGGTGGGGAGGGCCGGCGGTGGGGAGGGCCGGCGGTGGGGAGGGTCGGCGGTGGGGAGGGCCGGCAGTGGGGAGGGCCGGCGGTGGGGAGGGTCCGCGGTGGGGAGGGTCGGCGGTGGGGAGGGTCGGCAAGGGTCGGCGGTGGGGAGGGGCGGCGGTGGGGAGGGTCGGCGGTGGGGAGGGCCGGCGGTGGGGAGGGTCGGCGGTGGGGAGGGCCCGCGGTGGGCAGGGTCGAGGGTGGGGAGGGCCGGCGGTGGGGAGGGTCGGCGGTGGGGAAGGGCCGGCGGTGGGGAGGAGACAGGGTGGGAGGAGACAGGGTGGGAGGAGACAGGGTGGGAGGAGACAGGGGTGGGAGGAGACAGGGTGGGAGGAGACAGGGGGTGAGAGGAGACAGCGGTGGGAGGAGACAGGGTGGGAGGAGACAGGGTGGGAGGAGACAGGGTGGGAGGAGACAGGGTGGGAGGAGACAGGGTGGGAGGAGACAGGGTGGGAGGAGACAGGGGTGGGAGGAGACAGGGTGGGAGGAGACAGGGTGGGAGGAGACAGGGGGAGGAGACAGGGGTGGGAGGAGACAGGGTGGGAGGAGACAGGGGTGGGAGGAGACAGGGTGGGAGGAGACAGGGTGGGAGGAGACAGGGGTGGGAGGAGACAGGGTGGGAGGAGACAGGGGTGGGAGGAGACAGGGTGGGAGGAGACAGGGGTGGGAGGAGACAGGGTGGGAGGAGACAGGGTGGGAGGAGACAGGGTGGGAGGAGACAGGGGTGGGAGGAGACAGGGTGGGAGGAGACAGGGTGGGAGGAGACAGGGTGGGAGGAGACAGGGGTGGGAGGAGACAGGGGAGGGAGGAGACAGGGTGGGAGGAGACAGGGGTGGGAGGAGACAGGGGAGGGAGGAGACAGGGTGGGAGGAGACAGGGGTGGGAGGAGACAGGGTGGGAGGAGACAGGGTGTGAGGTGTATATAAGAAATGCTGCCTAGTTTTTTCCGACACTGTTGGCCACACCATCGTCAGCTGTTGTCTGCTGCTGCTGCTGCTGTTGTCTGCTGCTGCTGCTGCTGTGCTGTCTGCTGCTGCTGCTGCTGTTGTCTGTGCTGCTGTGTCTGCTTGTCTTGTCTTGTTCTCTCGTCGCTACAGTTGTGAGGTAATTATACATGGCTTGTACACGATCAGTTGCCGGAGTATTTGGCCATATTCTACCCCCCCGCACTCACCATATTCTACCACCACCAACTTCTACCACCATCATATTCTACCACCACCATATTTTACCACCACTATAAGCTACCCCAACCATATTCTACCACCACCATATTCTACCCCTCGCCCCCAAAATTTTCTACCACCACCATATTCTACCCCACATATTCTACCACCACCATATTCTACCAGCACTATATTCTTCCACCGCCATATTCTACCCCTACAATATTCTGCCACCACCATATTCTACCCCTACAATATTCTGCCACCACCATATTCTACCCCTCGCCCCCAAAATTTTCTACCACAACCATATTCTACCCACATATTCTACCACCGCCATATTCTACCCCTACAATATTCTACCACCGCCATATTCTACCCCTACAATATTCTGCCACCACCATATTCTACCCCTACAATATTCTACCACCACCATATTCTACCACCACCATATTTTACCACCACCATATTCTACCACCACCATATTTTACCACCACCATATTTTACCACCACCATATTCTACCACCACAATTTTCTACCACCACCATATTCTACCCCTACAATATTCTGCCACCACCATATTCTACCCCTACAATATTCTACCACCACCATATTCTACCACCACCATATTCTACCCCTACAATATTCTACCACCACCATATTCTACCACCACCATATTTTACCACCACCATATTTTACCACCACCATATTCTACCACCACAATTTTCTACCACCACAATATTCTGCCACCACCATATTCTACCCCTACAATATTCTGCCACCACCATATTCTACCCCTACAATATTCTACCACCACCATATTCTACCACCACCATATTCTACCCCTACAATATTCTACCACCACCATATTCTACCCCTACAATATTCTACCACCACCATATTCTATCACCACCATATTTTACCACCACCATATTTTACCACCACCATATTTTACCACCACCATATTCTACCACCACCATATTCTACCACCACCATATTCTACCACCACCATATTCTACCACCACAATATTCTGCCACCACCATATTCTACCCATACAATATTCTGCCACCACCATATTCTACCCCTACAATATTCTACCACCACCATATTCTACCACCACCATATTCTACCCCCACAATATTCTACCACCACCATATTCTACCCCTACAAGCTGCCACCACCATATTCTACCCCTACAATATTCTACCACCACCATATTCTACCACCACCATATTCTACCACCACCATATTCTACTATCACCATATTCTTCCACCACCATATTCTACCACCATCATATTCTACCACCATCATATTCTACCACCACCATATTCTACCACCACCATATTCTACCACCATCATATTCTACCACCATCATATTCTACCACCATCATATTCTACCACCACCATATTCTACCACCACCATATTCTACCACCACCATATTCTACCACCACCATATTCTACCACCACCATATTCTACCACCACAATATTCTGCCACCACCATATTCTGCCACCACCATATTCTGCCACCACCATATTCTACCACCACCATATTCTATCACCACCATATTCTACCACCACCATATTCTACCACCACCATATTCTACCACCACCATATTCTGCCACCACCATATTCTACCACCACCATATTCTACCACCACCATATTCTACCACCACCATATTCTACCACCACCATATTCTACCACCACCATATTCTACCACCACCATATTCTACCACCACCATATTCTACCACCACCATATTCTACCACCATATTCTACCACCATATTCTACCACCACCATATTCTACCACCACCATATTCTACCACCACCATATTCTACCACCACCATATCTACCACCACCATACCACCATATTCTACCACCACCATATTCTACCACCACCATATTCTACCACCACCATATTCTACCACCACCATATTCTACCACCACCATATTCTACCACCACCATATTCTACCACCACCATATTCTACCACCACCATATTCTACCACCACCATATTCTACCACCACCATATTCTACCACCATCATATTCTACCACCACCATATTCTACCACCACCATATTCTACCACCACCATATTCTACCACCACCATATTCTACCACCACCATATTCTTCATATTCTACCACCACCATATTCTACCACCACCATATTCTACCACCACCATATTCTATTCTACCACCACCATATTCTACCACCACCATATTCTACCACCACCATATTCTACCACCACCATATTCTACCACCACCATATTCTACCACCACCATATTCTTCCACTACCATATTCTACCACCACCATATTCTACCACCACCATATTCTACCACCACCATATTCTACCACCACCATATTCTACCACCACCATATTCTACCACCACCATATTCTACCACCACCATATTCTACCACCACCATATTCTACCACCACCATATTCTACCACCACCATATTCTACCCTAACCATATTCTACCACCACCATATTCTACCACCACCATATTCTACCACCACCATATTCTACCCCCACCATATTCTACCACCACCATATTCTACCACCACCATATTCTACCACCACCATATTCTACCACCACCATATTCTACCACCACCATATTCTACCACCACCATATTCTACCACCACCATATTCTACCACCACCATATTCTACCACCACCATATTCTACCCCCACCATATTCTACCCCCACCATATTCTACCACCACCATATTCTACCACCACCATATTCTCCCACCACCATATTCTACCACCACCATATTCTACCACCACCATATTCTACCACCACAATATTCTACCACCACCATATTCTACCACCACCATATTCTACCAACACCATATTCTACCAACACCATATTCTACCAACACCATATTCTACCACCATCATATTCTATTCTATATTCTACCCCACCATATTCTACCACCACAATATTCTGCCACCACCATATTCTACCACCACCATATTCTACCAACACCATATTCTACCAACACCATATTCTACCACCACCATATTCTACCACCATCATATTCTACCCCCACCATATTCTACCACCACAATATTCTGCCACCACCATATTCTACCACCACCATATTCTATCAACACCATATTCTACCACCACCATATTCTACCACCACAATATTCTGCCACCACCATATTCTACCACCACCATATTCTGCCACCACAATATTCTGCCACCACAATATTCTGCCACCACAATATTCTGCCACCACCATATTCTACCACCACCATTTTCTACCACCACCATATTCTACCACCACCATATTCTGCCACCACAATATTCTACCACCACAATATTCTACCACCACCATATTCTACCACCACCATATTCTGCCACCACAATATTCTACCACCACCATATTCTACCACCACAATATTATTGGGAGCAGCGCCAAGTATTAAGTTGAACAGGAAATAGTGTTTAAAAATAATCAGCGCTGCAGGCTGTGGAGGCCAGGCTGTGGAGGCCAGGCTGTGGAGGCCAGGCTGTGGAGGCCAGGCTGTGGACGCCAGGCTGTGGACGCCAGGCTGTGGAGGCCAGGCTGGGGAGGCCAGGCTGTGGAGGCCAGGCTGGGGACGCCAGGCTGTGGAGGCCAGGCTGTGGAGGCCAGGCTGGGGACGCCAGGCTGTGGAGGCCAGGCTGTGGAGGCCAGGCTGTGGAGGCCAGGCTGTGGAGGCCAGGCTGGGGACGCCAGGCTGTGGAGGCCAGGCTGTGGAGGCCAGGCTGTGGAGGCCAGGCTGGGGTGAACAGGCTGGTGAGGACAGGCTGGGGAGGCCTGGCTGGGGTGAACAGGCTGGGAACGCCAGGCTGTGGAGGCCAGGCTGGGGAGGCCAGGCTGGGGTGAACAGGCTGGGAACGCCAGGCTGGGGAGGCCAGGCTGGGGTGAACAGGCTGGGGAGGCCAGGCTGGGGAGGCCAGGCTGGGGAGGCCAGGCTGGGGTGAACAGGCTGGGGAGGCCAGGCTGGGGACGCCAGGCTGGGGAGGCCAGGCTGGGGACGCCAGGCTGTGGAGGCCAGGCTGGGGAGGCCAGGCTGGGGAGGCCAGGCTGGGGACGCCAGGCTGGGGAGGCCAGGCTGGGGACGCCAGGCTGGGGACGCCAGGCTGGGGAGGCCAGGCTGGGGAGGCCAGGCTGGGGACGCCAGGCTGGGGAGGCCAGGCTGGGGACGCCAGGCTGTGGAGGCCAGGCTGGGGAGGCCAGGCTGGGGTGAACAGGCTGTGGAGGCCAGGCTGGGGTGAACAGGCTGTTGAGGCCAGGCTGGGGTGAACAGGCTGTGGAGGCCAGGCTGGGGTGAACAGGCTGTTGAGGCCAGGCTGGGGTGAACAGGCTGTGGAGGCCAGGCTGGGGTGAACAGGCTGGGGTGAACAGGCTGTGGAGGCCAGGCTGGGGTGAACAGGCTGTGGAGGCCAGGCTGGGGTGAACAGGCTGTGGAGGCCAGGCTGTGGAGGCCAGGCTGGGGTGAACAGGCTGGGGTGAACAGGCTGTGGAGGCCAGGCTGGGGTGAACAGGCTGGGGAGGCCAGGCTGTGGAGGCCAGGCTGTGGAGGCCAGGCTGGGGTGAACAGGCTGTGGAGGCCAGGCTGGGGTGAACAGGCTGTGGAGGCCAGGCTGGGGTGAACAGGCTGTTGAGGCCAGGCTGGGGTGAACAGGCTGTGGAGGCCAGGCTGGGGTGAACAGGCTGTTGAGGCCAGGCTGGGGTGAACAGGCTGTGGAGGCCAGGCTGGGGTGAACAGGCTGTGGAGGCCAGGCTGGGGTGAACAGGCTGTTGAGGCCAGACTGGGGTGAACAGGCTGTGGAGGCCAGGCTGGGGTGAACAGGCTGTTGAGGCCAGGCTGGGGTGAACAGGCTGTGGAGACCAGGCTGGGGTGAACAGGCTGTGGAGGCCAGGCTGTGGAG